GGGTGAAGGGGAGAGAGGGGGTGAAGGGGAGAGAGAGGGTGAAGGGGAGAGAGGGGGTGAAGGGGAGAGAGGGGGTGAAGGGGAGAGAGAGGGTGAAGGGGAGAGAGGGGGTGAAGGGGATAGAGAGGGTGAAGGGGTAAAGGGGAGAGAGGTGGTGAAGGGTCTATGACTCGGGGAAATGGATTAATTGTCTTATGATTTTCTGTATAAAATATTTGAATTAAGTTAGGGCCACACCTCTCTTGTCACACCTCTCTTGTTGTAATTACATTACAACATAAATCTAAACAATGTCTCTTGTAGCGTGAAGTGCTGTCACGTGACAAAACTGTACAAGATCATTTGATAACGTTTCCTATCTTTATTGAGACCTCCAAAGGGCCCCAAACTCGACATATCTGATTGACAAGAAAATCTCTCTTCAAAGATATTAAATTAGCAATTGAGAAATGCTTATCGTAGTGTAGGTCTTATATGTCAAGATATCATTGTTGACACAAGATCAAAGGAACAATACTTAAAAAAAATTTAAAATCGTTACTTAGTGCACAAGAAAACTTAAAACGAGACATATATATAAATTATATTATATATATGAAATGAGTGAAAACTCATTACTTAACTCATTTTATATTGTGCTAACCTGTTTGCAGTCTCTCCCCTTATTACCCTATTATATATAGGGTTTGAATAGTTATAGATATATAGACTTTGAGAAAGAGAGGGTAGGGAAAGAGCTCAAGAAAGAGAGAGAAATGAAGAAAGATACAGTTAAAGACAGAGAGTGATAAAGAAATAGAGAGATAGAGAGAGGGTGGGAGAAAGATAAAAGGGGGGATATAAAGAGAGACCAAGGAAAGGAGAGTGAGGGATAGAGCGCCAAAAGAGAGAGAGAGAGAGAGAGAGAGATAGAGAGAGAGAAAGAGATGAGAGAAAGCGAAAGATAGAGGGGACATTAATAAAGAGAGAAAGAGTGAAATATAGATATAGACTGGGGAGAGACATATAGAGAGGGAGATAAAAGGAAATAAAGATAGGGGGGATAATAAAGATATTAAGAGACAGGCGATACAAAGAAAGAGAGAGAAGAAAGAAAAGTGATAGAGAGGGGAGGGAGAGAGATAAATAAAGAGATGAGAGAGAGAGAGAGAGAGGGATGGGGAGAGAAAGAACGAGAACAAGAAAAAGTGAAAGCTACCCTATGGAGTTACAGTTTTCAAATTAAAAAAAAAATGTGAAACACACTGAAACATACGGCTACAATTAGGGCCGTGCCAAGGACAATCTGTGTCCGAGGCTAAGGCTGTATTTAGGCGTTTTCTTACGAAAATAATGTATATATTAATACTACGGTACAAATAAGTATATATTAATACTACGGTACAAATTAGTATATATTAATACTATGGAAAAAATATTTTGCATTTTAAAAAAAGACTATTTTTGTCATTCCTGAAGATGACAACCGAGGTGCCATCCCTCCACCCCCCCCTGAAGATGACAACCGAGGTGCCATCCCTCCACCCCCCCCTGAAGATGACAACCGAGGTGCCATCCCTCCACCCCCCCCTGAAGATGACAACCGAGGTGCCATCCCTCCACCCCCCCCTGAAGATGACAACCGAGGTGCCATCCCTCCACCCCCCCCTGAAGATGACAACCGAGGTGCCATCCCTCCACCCCCCCCTGAAGATGACAACCGAGGTGCCATCCCTCCACCCCCCNGAAGATGACAACCGCGGTGCCCTCCCTCCACCCCCCCCTGAAGATGACAACCGAGGTGCCATCCCGCCCACCCCCCACCCCCACCCCTTTCTTCCAATGTTATTTCATATCTCATTCAGGTAAACCAATCTCCTTCCTGTGATTCACTTACATCACTCAGGTAAACTTATCTCCTTTAAATGTTACCTCACTCATGTAAACCAATCTCCTATGATATTCTTATCTTACTCATGTAAACCTATCTCATATCACCCCTTATCTCACTCAGGTAAACCAATCTATGATAATCGTAGCTCATACATGTAAACCAATCTCTTATGATAATGTTAACACTTACACAGGTAAAACAATTTACTATGATAATCTTACCTCAGGGAAACTAATTTCCTATCATAATCTTATCTCACACAGGTAAACCAATATTATATGTAAAGTAATATATGATATTCTTAGCTCACACCTGTAAACTAAAACTCATATGATAATGTACCTAAAGCAGGTAACCAGACTCCTCCTATGATAATCTTACCTCACTCAGGTAAACCAACCTCCTCCTCCGGTTCGATACGCCGAAAGCTCTGAGCAGTCCGTAGCTGTAGCAGGACATAACAGTGGACACGATAGTGGTGGCTGCTTTCAAGTGACAGATCACAAACCGTTGGTCTCTGAAGGCATTCTTAGAGTATCTATCTTGGTCATAGTTTGTCTCATGGAACTATTTGAGTGGGGGGGGGGAATTATTTTATCGTCACTCATCTTAGAACTAAAACATTTTCAGGCATCGATTTATAAACACATTCAACTTTTAAACTGCAGATCAATATTTAAATGGTATGATTGAAGTGCTTGGATTCATACAAATCCGTTACATTTGCATCAATAAAATTTATGTTTGAAAATCGTCTACCCCATTCGTAACACTAAAAAAACTAAATTTTAACTATATATTGATGAACTTTATTTGAGTTGTCTAACGAAGGTTAAAAGTAGGTATTACTATTAACACCTTGAAATATAGCTGATCTCAAAGTAGACACCTTTACCATCAATAAATGGAGACTTTTGTCCGTCACGGACCCGGTCCAAGTCGATCATGCAACGACGTAACACCTAGCAACAAACATGATGGAAAAACCATGGACTAAACACAGAGCGATGAAACTTGTCTCCCAGCAATGGTCAATTATGGCCAACTATTCCAGGCAAAAAACTTCACATTGGTCAGACGTCTGCAACATTTGACAGACTGAAATTTCGGAAACCAATGATTAGGATATTGTCAACTCAAGTTTGCTGAACCCGTTAGGTGCATGCCGGGAGTCTGCATCAGACAATCGATTGTTCCAACAGACGATGACAGACTCTTGTGCTAGGACCAGCAGCGACACAGAGTGTGAGAGCGTGCCATTTTCTTAGGTGCCGGTGTATGAAACAAATTACATTAGAATTAAAATAGAAATATACTGGGGGCAGATTGAGGCTTCAACAGAAGAGAGGGGGGGGGGAAGCTTAATTGTCACTTGTATTTCGAGTTACAACGTGTAGTGTTAACAGTACCTACCGGCAGTGACGTAGCTAGGGTTGGTGTCACCCGGTGCGGTAAACTCATGGTGTCACCCCCCCCCCTTCCCGACTCCTACGATGGATTTGTTCTAGTTAAAATAAATGCACAGTCTAACAATGACAAGAATTGAAATAAATTAATTTAATTTTTTTTAAGGCAAGGAGTCGGTCAAGGAGGTAAATGTATTTGAGAACTGTGACAACGTTAAGTTATAGTTATTTTTACATTACATTTACTTTATTTAAACTTTGCCTTTCCTGCTCTTCAAAGCTGCAAACTTGTCAATGACCGAAATCACAATACTTCACCGTATAACTTTCAGTTGATAGCAGAGCCAGATCAGAAAGCTTTGACTGCCCCATGGTGGATTGTAAATACCGGTAAAAATAGTCCTTGATAAGCCTTAGTTTTGAAAAGCTCGGCTCACACGAAGCCACAGACCGTAAGAAACAACTGAAGGCCTAGCGAGAGTGTTGGAAGAGATTCTTCCTAGTTCCTAGTCCCATTCAGCTATGAATTTTAAAGCATCAAATACTGACAAGTCCTTGAATTTGTTTGTGCTACCTTTAGGTGTCTTCTAAGCCTTGGTATTTCTTTTACAAGTTCATCTTCTGATAACTCATCATAGAAATAGGTTAATTTTGGAACGGACACCAACTACTCTTTTTCACTTTCTGATAGTAGACTCTTGGGTTGAACAGTCCGAAGCATATCTGCTACTTCGTTGATCACTGACGATGTGAGCTTTCAGAATGAAAGCGAACAATGCACTCCAGCATCTCACTGCTGTTTTCTTCTCACAGAGAGTCCAGCGTCTACTTAATTGATCTCTTGACACTCTCTTTCTAAACCTTCTCTCTACCGAAAATCCATATTGTTCGGATTTTAAAAGTGCCTTTTCAATAGCATATTCCGCTAAGTCAGTGGTTCTCAACCTTCCTAATGCCGTGACAACTTTATTGAGCTCATGTTGTGGCGACCCCAACCACAAATTATTTTTGTTTCTACTTCATAACTCAACTGCAGAGCATGTGTCTTCAGTTGGACTTAAGCGACCCATGGAAAAGGGTCGTGTGACCCACAGGTTGAGAACCGCTGCACTAGGTGACAGCGCTTCTCGTGCAGAAACAATCTTAAGGCCTCTAGATTGATCACCACTTTGTCAAGAGTAAAGCCTTTAGCCTGCAGATATGATCGTGTAAATCGTGCTCTAATGTTAAGTACTAGTTGACTGATAACGAAAATATTTTTTGTTGCATTTTCTTATATTACACGTGTGGAAAATTTACGTGTGATCGGTTCTCCTTTTGTGACATTCGGTTGGACCGAGCAGTGTGTGCTCTGCAAATAAGCATTTGTTCAATTTGGTGTCACCACAAGGGATGGTGTCACCACAAGGGATAGTGTCACCCTGTGCGGTCCCCACCCCTATTGCTAGGCCACTGAGAACCGATACCTCATTCCTTTAGTTAGGTATCAAAAAAAAAAAAAAGAGGCAATGGGGTGACTGGAGAGAATAGAACGGGGCAAATGTTGCCCAACTCAAAATCCGTAGCGTATACACGACAGTGGCGCAAGAATATTTACATGTAAACAAAAATCTGTTTATTTTAAAAATTGTCTTAAAATGTCAATAGAGTGAGAGACACACACACGCATGAAATAAATGAACAGGAGACGTAATTAATTGTCTAATTTTATTTGAAATGAAACTAATGACACTAAAACCTGCAATATTCAGACATAATTTTAAAAAGAAAACAATGATGGATCCCAAGAAGTAGGCTTTGCATTTGATCAAAAGTAAATTTCAGAATGAACCTCTTACTTCAATGAAACCAGAGCCCCTTCAATTGATCCACCTCTGCCTCCTGGTTTAAGTCAACTGTGACAATGTCATTTGTTGTATAAGCATTCAAAAATATGTGTCGAAATGAATGGCTGGTGTCAAAAAAGTTCATCTAAAAATGAGGTCAGATTTGTTTTAACTAAAAACAAGAAATAATCCTGGATGTACTGCCCAAGTGTACCAACCAGAAGGCAGGCAGATGCTTAGTGTAGACTTAGACAGGGCTTCACTTAATACTTTATAAAATACAAATTTGTGCTATCTACTTAATCTTAATCATGAGGAACTGTATCTTTAAATTTTACTGTCTATTTCTGATAATCTTGTCAGAAACCTTGAAATCAAATTTATATCAGTTAAAATAAAATGTCTCACCAAGTTTTTAAAGATATTGAAAACAAAGATAAGCAGTGCAAATAAAAGGATTATCAGAAATAAATACAATGTGGTATGACTAAGTAGTTGATCCATTGGATATTTACTCAATCCCAATATCCACTGGTTTAAGGAATTCATAGTTATATACAGGAGTTTTAAATTTTTACATCAGGCTAACATCGAGTGAGAAAAATATACACTATTTACAGTTTGAACTTTCAACTATGCAGCACCTTCAGAAAATCCCTACCAGTACTGATCCATAGTCTTAAGTTATGGGCCAACATATTACAACACATGAATTGTTTGACGCAGGTCAGTAATATAAACATTCTATGGCAATACCGAAACTGGCATAACTCTCAAAACAATTATTCATTTGCGCAGTATAAAATTGTCAGTGGTTTTATTAGAAAATGTTAACAACTATTAAGAAATAGTTGTCCATAAGTAAACTATTGGCTCGGACTGTCTCCATATGTAAACTATTGGCTCAGACTGTCTCCATATGTAAACTATTGGCTCAGACTGTCTCCATATGTAAACTATTGGCTCAGACTGTCTCCATATGTAAACTATTGGCTCAGACTGTCTCCATATGAAAACTATTGGCTCAGACTGTCTCCATATGAAAACTATTGGCTCAGACTGTCTCCACATGTAATCTATTGGCTCAGACTGTCTCCATATGTAAACTATTGGCTCAGACTGTCTCCATATAAAAACTATTGGCTCAGACTGTCTCCATATGAAAACTATTGGCTCAGACTGTCTCCATAAGTAAACTCAGAGTGTCTCCATAAGTAAACTCAGACTGTCTCCATATGTAAACTATTGGCTTAGACTGTCTCCATATGAAAACTATTGGCTCAGAATGTCGTACAAATGTCCATTATAATTGAGTTCATACACAAAGAAATAGGGAACCATTATAAATGATATGTGGTTACTGAACACAATGCTCAACTTTATAGTACAAACCATTTGAAATACATGAACTATTTACTAATCAGGAAAAAAAGTATAATACCGGTACACATAGTTGAATTAAGGAAGGCAGATTGTGGTAGATTGGTGTGGTGAACTGCTGTTAGAAAAATAAATACAACAGATAAATGGATTCAACATAACATTCAAAATATATATCTTATAAAATATATCAAAACATTTCATAAACACACTTCATGGTATACACTGGGTGAAATTAAATGTGCTTACAAAATTAAAATAAGCAAATTAAAAAACAATTTGTAGTGAATGAGAATTAATCATTGTTCTATAATAAATGTGTGTAAATGACAAATTCAGCAAGAGCATATCTTCACGGGTGCATTGTGGAAGCTTCAAAGTAGTCCATTTGTTGGTTGACTGTTTGATTGATCAGAAGTCTGGAACATTCAGTTCACAACAGGGGATGCAAAGAAGCGACTGGGTTTCTTAGGTTCAAATGTTTTTGTAGCATATCTGGAACACACACAATCAAAATTAAGTAGCTTGCAATGGATACATCACATCTCATGCTTCTGGAAAGAAATTATTCTACAAAATATATTTCTATGTTAAGACATAACATTGTATCTGATAATGCCTTGCTGAGACAGAAAGCAGACTGCAAGTATTGCCTAGACAGAAATCAGACTGTTAAAAATTGCCAAGACGACAGGCACATTCTGAAAGTAATCGGCTCCTCTCTGACTTTGAGAACTGTGTCATCACAAAACGCCATTCAGATTTCTCAATCAGAAAGTATATATCATCACAAAACACCATTCAGATTTCTCAGTCAGAAAGTATATAATGGGCTCCATCACACAATTAAGACATTCGTAATGTAAAGTAAAATATACAAAATTAAAATATTTTTAACTTCAGATCTGTGCAAATTAGTATAATTATACTTGAATATATAAAACTTTAAAAAAATTTCCCATGCTACTTCGGCATTTAAACTATCATGTTAAAAGAATACTGCAGTATGAGCTATAGACCTGAATTAAGAATACAGCAGACTATTTGATTTGTCAGTGTACAAACAATTCTAATAACATGGCTTTGTTTTGGCATTATTTTACAATTTTAAGTGGATCGCTAAAATTATTAACCAAATAATTAAACAAAATAAAGTAAAATATTAGTGCACAATGTAACTGTAGTTCTGCTCTGGTCAACACTACATTATTATGGCTAGTTTATTGCCTTTTTACATAAACGAAATTAGGACTATTTTTTCAAAGACGAAATGCCTTGCTAACTAGTGTTGAGACAGAAGAGAGAGAACCAAAACTACTTGGTTGGATGAAACTCAATAGAATATTAGTGATTACAATCAAAGTGCTCAGGGGAAACTTGATGCTTATTTAGCTATTTCTTCTTTGCATCATTTTCATCAATAACTCCATCATTTCTATAATAATTAGATTTAATCATTTTTTTTCTTACTTTCTTTACAATAATTTTTTTTTTCAAATACAAGTAAACAGGTAAATTATATGTGTAAATAATTGTGTTTATTTTTCTGTCTAGTTTAAATTAAATTGTTTTTTTTAAAAGTGTGTAACTTCAAGGTCACAGGAAATATTCCTAACAAACTGTGGCTCAGTGTAGTAATTTAATAGAAAAACTGTAATAGAAAAAATCTGAACATTATATACTAAAATATTCCAGATGACAGTGTGGTGTTATATAGATTTTATTTTTTTAAAATTATTGTGAATTTAAAAGGAAAAATATGTAACTTGTATAAATAAAATAAAAAAACATTGAAATTTTGTTTTTGTTTCTTTAGTACCGGTAATTATTTTGTATAAACAACTTTGGTTAATTTCAATTTTGATTAAAGTTTAAGTGAGAAAACAGATTCGCTTTAAAATCTATGCCCACTATTATGAACAGGTTTTTTGATTAAACTCAGTGAAATGCCTCATTGAAAACTTTGAGAAATATCATTAGAAACAAAAAGACAAGTAAAAAAAAAGAAAGAAAACTTTTAAATCCACGACAATGAGCATAAAGACAATATTATGACAACGTAAATAGATTGAGTTCAAATAACAACTATCATTTGAAATAATGCTGTAAGCAAAGCTCAGGTGAGTCATTCAAAAACAACTTAGATAAGTAATTCTTTAAAGAGATAACCAGGAAAGGAAAAATGAAAAAAATCAACCTAGCAAGAGATATTATCTAAGAATTATGTTCCAAATGGAAAGAGGACATCCAAAGAAATTTATTTTACTTTTCATGCAATAATAATTTTCCATATTTCAATACTGGGTACTCAAAAAAAGATGACTGCAGGATGAGACGAGTATTAACTTTGAAAAATTACAAATCCACTCAGCATTCCTTTATGTATAATGAAATAAAAACACTGTTCCCCTCAGATAAGTAAAACATAGATTCAAACTGTTCAGGTAGAAAACTTCAGATGTCAGTTACGTAACAATTTGAATTGCAGAATAAAAATCTCAGCTCAAGGTTAGTATGAAAATAATAAAGAAGACTGTGTAAGATGACATGAAGCAGTACCTGTACAATTGGTATGTGCAATTCTATGACAAGTCCTTCTTGCCTACATGACACCAGAATGAAGGTCAGGATACAATGGTGGCATCAGTTTGGGTCTATCAACAAGACAAATAGCTCCAGTATGTCAGGGCTTTTTAAACATTACTTCAAATGGTTTAGTTAAATTGTTAGCACAAAGCTTTGGTGAGTAGATTTGAGCAGTTATATACTGAGTATTATAGAGCTTCCTACAGTCTAAATTAGCTGTAGAGAATGTAGAAATAGTTAATAACCCAGATCATCAATATACAGTATGAAGTTTTATTTCTTTATCAGTTGAGAGTAACTAATAGATTACGATAGATGTTGCCTTATTTCTATATTTTATAATTGAATGCCCATTCAATTTAGTTTTCAAATTTTTTTTATTGTTGAAAATTATACTGAAAACAATAACCCATTCCTAAATTGACCAGAAAAAAAAATAAAAATTTATGTCTATTTGTATAACGGTGGATTATTTACTTTTTGTATGGAATTAAAAAAATAATCCTCTCTGTTTATTATCTATTGAAAGTCACAAAAAATATTTTATATATAGACTAAATAAAGTCTTAACTCTGTATACTTTGCCTAGGCCTTTTCATTTTATGCATTGTTTCTCAAAAATAGTTGTAAATAGTTTCAGGAAGCTCACAGCTTTTAAATTGAAAGGAATTGTTCATAATTTGTAAGAGTCATTTTGCCATTATGAAAAATAGCTTCACACAAAATAACTAGTCTAGTACTACAGCTAAGTTTAAAACGTGAAGAGCATAATATAGGCTATTTATCAAACCATGAAATATCTTAAAACATTTGCTAATAGAGTTCTGTCTCCCCATGTATCACTGCATATGTGATTGTTGAGTGGAGTGAACATTTTTAAAAAGTAGAACTTTCAATTAAAAAATATCAACTATTTACAATTTGTTATATATTTTACAATTATTGTAGTTGTAAGAAGACTCGTAATTGAGCTTCATCAAACTAAATGCATCGTATTTTATGTATTGATGAAATAAGTACAGGGTATTATAAAATAAATCAAAATTGTCGGTGAAAACTAGTGTTGAACCAGAAAAATCCCAATAAGATAGAAAGAAAATGTTTATAACTTTTTTGTGTGTAGAAAAATAAGAAGAGTATGGATTAAGAAAATGTAGAATAATAGGATGAAAATCTCCCAACCGTTGAATTCAATTAAAGCATCTGACATTTATTATATGATTTGTTTACATTTTTTAAAAATGTGTGTATAGTGCTTATCTTATGTCTGCTTTTTTTGTGGGGGTGGTGGTGGTCAAATTTCCAGCTATTTATAATAATTTTCCCAATAATTTAAACTATTTGAATTCATACATTTTTTTGTGGGGGCTTTTTGTCCTTTCAACTGACTAAATTACTTCAAATCTTTCTTTGTTCAGCTAAAAAAAATCAAAACATTGGACCAACTGAATTATTGAGTAGATCATGAAAATCCAAAGAGTTTAGTGGATCTAGACTGGGAAAACCATATCATTGAACATATCAAAACCAGTTATGTGCAAAAGAAATCAAAATAACCAAAAAGTAAACGAATTTAACATCAAGAAAAACAGGTAACAGAGCCAATATACCTGAACAGAATGGCAGATTCTTTTACTGATAAGGGTAGAGTATTAATAATAAGGAAGGTGGCACAACAAAGACAGAAAGTCTAAAATACAAAAAGCTGATGCTGTGTTCAATCTATTAAATTAAATGGAAATCCAAGGACACAATGCATAACCCTGCATACCCAAGTTAAAGTTGTCAAACACATCAAGTTCATCAAGTCTTCCCTATCACTATGAGAACAAAATAATTTAAAAATCAAAGACTTCCACAAACTTAATTCTAAGAATTTTCTAAATTTGAAATGAATGAATAAAATAAGTTCTTAGTATGAAATCAACATGATTAGATTGTACACAGACAAAAATCATGTATGGCCAGACAGAAAATTCATATATTTCCAGACAGATAATATCATGTAGCACCAGACTAATAAACTCATATATTACCAGACTGATAAATTCATATATTGCCAGACAGATACATTCATCATATAATGCTCTAAAAAATAATATATTGTCAGCACACCCTTGAATACCAAGGGACTAGAACAAGATGAATTAAATATTCATAAAAGAGCCTGAAAAGAAGCTGACAAAGTAACCGAAGTAATATGAAAACTCAACGATGGCAGGCGACGTCTCATCTTCACCAGTTTTCTATATGACTAAGACAATACAACTTTAGCCTCATTGGAATAAGTCTGTACAAATTCAGTGAAGTGCCTTTTACCAGGCTAATAAATAAAACTCAAACCTATTTGATAAATAACATTTTTCACACTTTCATAATTATTCCATTATATGTAATAACAAGATGCTCATGCCCCCATGCGTAAAATAGATAGTAAAGAGAAATAAATAAATTTAAAAAAATTTTTTAAAGTCACCAAGTATAAATATGAAAATGTTATGGGAAAACTTGTAAATAAATTATCGAGGACAGACAAAAAGACTTTTAAACAAATAATTCACTTCCAAAAAGTTCATTAAAAAGAATGAAAGAATTCAAGCATTAGGGCATTAACGAGAAAAGAAAAGCTAAGCAGGCTTAGTTATCTCATATGCATTTGTGCAAGATTTATATGGGAATATATAGTCACATTGTTAGTCCTCACCTTAAGTACACAAGGTTAAAACAAGTGAGAATAATCAGACAGTGCACGATTTGCAGTTTTATTGTTAAAAGGGACACTAAGATGCTGTATAATTAATCATAAAGTGAGAATTCAGTATAGGAAGTAAAATTATTGATAGGCGTTTAAATCCTGTATTGCTGGTAAATAAGATAATGATTAACAAGTAAATATTTTAAACCTAGCAAATCTGAACCCCTTAAAATTAGGCTGCGACTATTCGTACCCGAGTACCAGAAGTGAGAGGTTGGGATTAAAAAACTATTGAAAATATTATTGTTGGGTTTGTATGACAAAATGAGGTATCAAATGAAAGATAATAGAATGGACTGTATGTTTGTAAACTTACTTCTTCAGTTTAACTAAAATAAACTACCACAAATGACATCCGAATAGCTTGAGTCTAATGGTACCTGGGTGCGAATGGCGGCGCTGTGTGTCTGGGACCATTTTGACTCAGTGCTATTCGGATGTCATTTGTGGTAGTTTATTTGTTCAAATTGGTTCACAACTTTGCTCAAGATGCAGATTGTGCATGGATACAGTGCTATGAAAGATGCAAGTTAAATATCATACAATAATACCCACTTTCCCACAACAGCGTGTTTAAAGTCCCTGAGAAATAAGAAACAAAAAGTTATAAACCTTTATTCATATTGTAAAACAAAAATAACTTAGGGTGTGGCCAGTTTGTCATGACTTTACAACACAGACTAATACCGTTTCCTGCAGTACTTTGGTATTATTATTTAAAATTTTCTGAACAGCACTTAAAAAGTCTCTTACCTTGGTGTGGTTTGTGCCTTTCTAATTTCATTTCCATAAATGTCAGGCCTATCAGGGGTGCCAATAGGACCCAACATGCTGCGAAGCCCTAAAGAGAATTATAAAATAGCATCATAGATCAGGTCTTTAATAAATGATTTTAAAAATATGGCTTTCAATTATGCACTTCGAAACATCTAATCAGTATTAGATTACAAACATATTTGACCCTTCAAAATCTAAGTTGTAATTCAAAAAAAGTTTGCAGAAATTTAAAAAGTTAATACTTTGTATCAGGGACTGCATTCAAGCTGTGTAAAGTAAAAAAAAATAGTGGAACAAGATATTTTTGGGCTTGAAAAAAAACAAAAAAAAAAAAACAGGTCATTTTCCATGTCGTTTTGGCTAAATGCCTTCTTCCTAGAAGATGGGGAAACAGCAAGGTAAGGAATAAGTACATAGAAATAGCAGCAGTATAATGTCAAGCTTAAAGGATATGAGAGACTGCGTTGTTAAAGTAGTGTGAAATAAATATCAGAAAAACATTTTTATGGCTTGAAAAAAGAACGGACTACTTTGTTGAGGATCGATTGTTACGCTAAGAGGACTTAACAGAAATGGAATTTAATTGATTACATGATACATACCATAATGTGCACTATCAGGTGTGTATGTACCAGCTGGGTATAAACTGATGTCATCAACGTTAAGGACGTCACTCCAAAAATCTGTTGGTATCTCAAGCAAACGCTCCATTACCTAGATAGCAAATAAAATAACCGAAATGTAGACTTCACTGACAAAATCTATCTGCCTCCATTCATTTAGGATTATTATAGAGAATTGCTCAGATCAGTGCCATTCATAAGATGAAGCCCACCAAAACTAATTTTGACCATTGCAACAAGTATGAGGACCATACAAATATTTCGGTCATTAAAGTGGAGACTTAAGATGTGAAATATTTTTTTAAAATAAAAATGGGATGTATTATCTATATTTGAAAGTTGTAAGTGTAGCAAAATATGTATGTGTTTTATATTTAGATGAAATGGGGTAAATAAGCAGGATGGAATGAGAATTAATTGAACCCTACACAAAAATTATAAAGCTGACTCTTAGTTTCCTTGTATATATTTGATGTTATTTTATACCTGATTTTGTTTCTGAGTTTCTGTCATTATTTGCATTGGCTCTGGTTCAGGACAAGAGTAACCCACAATAGTTGGCCCAAACACCTTTGCTAAATTGGAAGCTGGCATCTTGCATGTTGGGGTGGCTGCAACTCTGGAACAAGTCATTCCAAAAACAATTAAGTGCAATGAATATTGTAAGAACATAAAATACATGATGGCACATATTTTTAATAATATTTTAAGGCTATTTAATTGATGACACTTACGTCTGAAGATGTTGAACTAGGAAAGCCAATGTGTCTTTGTTGGCCTGGGGTAGTTCATTGACAAGACGGCACAACTCATCCCTGCATTTCTCACTTGAACGGTTTCCTAATTTGTAAATTTAATAATTTTAAGGGCTCTGACTGATTCAAACGTATACAATGATTTGCCAGATAATATAAACAAGATATTGAATGAATAATTTCTCAAAGAAATATATATTTTTAAAATTCAATTTTATTTAATAAAGTTAAAATTGTATAATTATTTCCACTTACTTGTTGCCTCAACAAATTTGTTCCAGAGTGCAAAAGTAACAAGGGGCTCCTTAAGACCTCTCAAGAAATCTTTTAGGCATCCACATACAACATGAATATCATGGATCAGCGACTTGGGGAAAAAAAAAAAAAAATGAGAGAGAGAAGCTTATCCATAATTAACTACATTAAGTAAAGGGTAAAAATGATACTCCTTAGCAATTTATGTTTTGAACAAAAAAATCAAATTGGGTTCCAACAATCATCAGAAGGAAAGGTAAGACTTTGGTGGTACTCACAAGATTGGGATATCTGCCTTTAAGAAACTTTTCCTTGAGTTCTTTTTGGTCTTTATCAGATCTAAAAAAAATTAGAACAAAATAAATAACAGACATGCACCTGTTAGATAATCTTTCTGATAATTCAAACTAACAGTTCAGTGCCCTGATAAAAATAATTATAATGTAAGGACTATTCATTAAAATATTTCCTTTCAATACTTACCCTGGTACCCTGTAGATGCCTACTTCTTCCAAGCCTCGATTTTCTATCTCATTGGCACAGTTAACCTGATGTTTTAATGAATATTTGCATGAGGATCAACACTAGTTTTATTTATCAAAATGTCTGAGTTCAAAGAAGATCTATAAATAAATTAGGTTGTGGGCAATATCAGAGATGATAAGATTTTGATTAACTTACTACCTGTCGGGTAAGGGAATTCATTAATAATTGTTGCGACTGGATATTATGTTTGATTAAGTGCGGTGTGTTTTTGAGAGATTTATTAGTTAGTGAACGCTCTTCCCGTGCTTAACTCGGTGACATATTTTTATGCTTATTATGACGTATTGTCTGGTCTGTTTTGTGTCATACGTTTTAGTCGTGCGGGAGTTGTGAAAGGAGGTTGTGTTGTATTTCTCTCTGATAGCTAGCTGCGCTATACATGTGTATATTGAATTAACAGTCTGTGAATTTACATTATATATTAAAGTTGAAATTATTATGAAAAAGTACTTGAGTTGATTCAGTGCTAGTTTAATGTATTACAATGTGCGAAAGAACTTAATGAATGAAACAATCTAGTATAAACAGGAGTTTGACACTACCGACATTTGTGTGTGCTAACAAACCTCTTGTCCTTTATCATACTACCTGCGTGCCAGCAAATCTCTTGCCCTATATTGTACTACCTGAGTGTGCAAACGAAACTCTTGTGTTATATTGTACTACCGTAAGCTTCTGAAATCCTAAAAACATTAACTGGTTAATCACATAAACCCAAAATTCAAGAGCTGATATCAGCAAGATATTTCATGTCTATAATTCACAAAGATAAGTACTTACAATTAGTCGTGGAATCATGGGTCTCTCTCCTGGGGCAAAATCTGCAATCAGTCCCTTAAAAAATAAAATGGAAATGTACAACTAACCATTCTAGATGTGCCATAAAATAACCCTTTCCAACAACAACGTATAAATTTAACCCAAACACTAACATATTTTCTATCCTTACATCAGATAACTTGTTTCCACCAGGTGTACTAGGACAGGATGGGATACATGGTAGGGGTAGCTTGTCTTTACATTCAGGATGACACACAGCTCGACAGTCTGTTGCAAGAAATTAGATCATCCATACAGCACATTTTTTACATATACTATAAATACTAATACAAATAGAAACATTAAAAAGTAGCTGTAAATACTTACCTTTACACTTCATAGCTAACTTGCTGAATCTTATTCTCTTTCCACACTGAAATATATAAAAGTGACAATCTGACTTTTCGGTTCAGCTATCAACATAAATTTTTTTTTTGTTAATGAAATAAAAAGACAAGAAAAAAACAAAACAAATTAAAACCATATATAAAAGCGGGCTAAGAGAAAATAAAATATATAGAAAACTTACAGGGACACATGTTTCAGGTTTAATGACTGTCTTAGAGATGAATATATGAACTCTGTTTAAGCCTCTACCAGCTGAATTGGCCTTCCGCAAAGTTGGAGTCCTGTTCAACACAGATAGATACAATCATTGGAAGACTATAAACCATCCATTTAGTCTGTTATTTTTGTGTAATTTATCAATCATTATGAAGATTAGCGTGACTTATAATTTGTTAAGTCAATGACAAAATTAAACTTGGAAATACTCTTTAAGGAAAAGAAAAAAAACACACATGTAGTTTGTTAACCTTAAATAGGATGTGAACTTACTCAGGTGTGTTCTTAAGAATACTTTTGCGAGGTTGGGCGTTGTAATTCCTGTTGGCATTGTTGTTCCGAGGAAATCCATATATTTCATCATCACTCTCTGGACCACTGTCTGGAATTAAATTTAAAAAATAAGCCTATAGTGCATCAACGGCTCAAATAAATCTTGCTGTAAATTGGAAATGTCCCAATAAAAACACACTAGCGACATTAACAAAGAATTAATTTTTTTTAAAGGAATAGAGCACTCTCCCCAAAAATTTCTTGAAATCTTGATGTCTGATATTTGGCAGACAATCAGTTCTTAGCCTACAAGTGTGTCCAGTACCAGGGCAATCAGACAGGAAATGAAAATAAAATATATATCCAATTGTATCCAAATAAATTTTGAACAAACAATCATATAAAATTTACATTTAAGTGCTTTACTTAGTTTTAATGAAATATAAAGCTAAGTTTTTATATGAAAATACAAATTTTAATAATACGGCTGTCAAGTTACCTCCACCATTTCCTCTTTTATCCAATGAGGGCTCACTAAAACTTTTGTTCAATTTTGGTACAATGTTTGTTTCTACAGTGGCACTGGGTTTGCCGGCAGTATCAATAGTAATCACCGCTGTCACTATAGAGCTGTTGTGATCCTGAGGAGGGTTGGCAAATTCAGTCTATTTTAATTTAAGCCATGACTTGAATATAAATTAACAGCTTAAGATATAAGGATCTTGGTGGGATGTTGCAAATTCATGTTACATCAAAAACTTTAGGCAAAGTTGATGAAACTAATATACATATAGTTTTTAATGGACTGATTGAGCTGTGAATGGTAAAGAAATTCTTACAAAATCAAAATCTTTATTAACTATCAATATTTAAAAATACTTAAGCTTCTCACATTTTCCTCCCGTTGTCGCTTTGGTGGTGTTTGTTCTTGATCCTCAGCAGGTGGTGCTGTTGGGCGCTTAAACTTTTTCCCATTTCGAAGTCTTGTTTCATTAAGGGGATCTTCTTCTGTTTTGTCATAACTCACATCAGACAGAAAAGATGCTGAATGTTCCAAGATAGTGTTCAGTCTATAAAAATATAATAGATTCTTCAAATACAATATTATGATAAAAAAAATCCTAAAGAACACAACTTCACCATTGTATTAGTTAAAAATATTTATATAAAATGTACCTTATGTTGCTTCCATCTAAATGTGCACTCTGACGATGGCTATTAGCAATAGCTGCCAGCCTCTCTCTGTCATTTTCATGAAGTATGCTCTTGCTGTTCTTGTCATTTAACAGTTCTCTAATAACATCAAGTTGACGATCCTGTCATTTAAAAGCATAAAGCAGATTAGTTAATTTCACATTTTGAACCACAAAAATATCAGTTTGCAATGGCCAGCAACTGCAATACTAGAGGGAACTTTGAGTTTTAAAATTGCATTGACCCCTGAACTGTGGGTAGCCATTTCCTTTTATTAATAATTAAATCAAATTCCGGGTCAAGCTGTTTCTTGATAAATGAACAATAAGAACTTTTTAATCGGAATTTTATATTGCTGTTTTTTTAAAAAGCAAAAATGACGGAAGCTATGGCTAGGCCGTCAGTGCGAGAACTAATATAAATATTTTTGAAAGCTGTTTAGGAGAGAATTTAAGTGATACTGATTATGATTTTAACATTCCCCATGACATCTCACTTCAGATTCTTCTTTTCGTGAATCTGATACTAGTCTTAGTGATACTGAAGTAGGCCTACTGAGGCTACTGTTTGACTTCGAGCCAGGCCCGGAGGTTGGGCAAGGACTGACTGAATTTTAGTCACAGAAGCTATAGATTATAGATCACAACTAATAAATTTTATAGTTTAACAACCAAAATCAGTTCCACAGTTCCTTTTTAAATGTTTACTAATTAATAATAACTATTTTGCCTGAGATTTTGTATTTTGTACTTGATTTTAGCAGTGGTCCCAGTTTCTTATATAAATGACCTAAAATTACTAAAATTGCTTTCAGATGTTTAATTGCAATCAAAACCTAGCAAACAATACATTTTCTGATAGATAAATTAATTGGCTACAACGTTTAGATTTGTGTTTTAATTGTATCTATACAAATTAATGATTTATGAGCACTTGAAAGCAAATATTTTGTCGATTTTTATTTTCTTGAGAACTCCAAGGTCAAGGACACTGAGCAAAATTTTTTTTTTTACGGGGTGAGCAATATGGCCAACTTTATCCCCATCCATTTACCTATCTAAAAATATATAATTATTGGGGTCTTGCATCAATATTTCTATGTCATTTAATAAAATTTCAAAAGGCACTCAAAAAGCTCTTAAAAGCTCCACACCACAGAATGATGCATGCCACAGTTCGAGGGTTTAAGTAATTTTTCTGCTTTTGTTACCTTATCTTCTTTTTCCCGCTCTGCTACTTTTCTTCGCTGAAGCTCATATTCTGCTTGCATTCTGCGGAGATAGTACAAAAGTAAAATTTACATTAAAAATATGGCAGGTTTAAATATTAGACTACAATTCTATTTTACTCAGTCTCAGCACTTATTAAGTTTCAAAGAATACCTTGCATGCTTCAACTGAGTCTCTAAAGCTGCGGCCTGAGACTCAGCACGTTTTATTCTATCTTCAATACTGTCATTCTTTTGTTCGGCTGCAAGCCATTTCTTCCTTGCCTCATCTTGATTCATAGCAAATGCAACAAATTCTGAAAATGTCAAATGAGGTTAAAGAAAAAAACTTGTAATGATATTTAACATTCTTAAAAAGTTTATGTATTCACTGTTTTCTGGTCCAAGTGCTGAACATCAGGTTCCCTAAAATTGAAATTAGTTTTATCCCTAAACAAGAATAAATTCATAGTAACAAACTGAAAGAAGTTTGTGGAAGAAATATAAATACATTAATGTTAAAATTAGATTGTTTATTTATTAAAATAAGACCTAAATCTAGATTTTGCCTCCCCACATTATTGCCAACAGACTTTTATTTTGGGAATACTGTTTCATACAAATAACTGAAGAATATAAAGTGTACAATAATTATAATTTGTTTTGTTTCTTCCCAGTTTACTTTAACTCTGACTTTTAATCAGTAGTTAAATAATACAAAGTCTAAATCAGGGGTGGGCAAACTTTTTGTGCGGAAGGCCACATATATAATACAAAGTGGCTATTCGCACCCAGTAACCAGAAGTGAGAGGTTGCGACCAGGGTGCTAATGCCGGTGCTGCGTGTCAGGGGCCATTTTGACTATTCGGATGTCATTTGTGGTAGATTATTTTATTTAAAATGAATAAGTAAGTTTACAAACATATAGTCCAGTCAATTATCTTTCATTTGATACCTTATTTTGTCTTACAAACCCAACAATAATATTTTAAATAGATTTTTAATCCCAACCTCTCACTTCTGGTACCCGGGTGCAAATAGTCGCAGCCTTTATATTATGTCCAATTTTCACATGTTGATAAACATTTGTCCATATTATAATCAGTAAATTCCCAAAAGTCAAGGACTGTTTAAAAAAATTGAAAATAAGAAAGAAAGATGATCGAAAATGTTAAAACAATCATTACGATACATGAAATTCTTTAAAATTCAACAAAATAAATAATGTTTGCCCACCACTGGTCTAAATGAATATTTTAGTCAATTTGGACATTTCTTTTCTTATTTTATCAACCCACCTGCTTCACATCCCGATTGGAGGACTTTAGATTTGCGCATTATATCATCAAATTGTGCCACAAGAGATAAGGAAATTTCCGTCTGAAAAGCAATAAACATCATACATTAGTATGTCACGTTTAGTCTAGGTTTACTTCATTTTAATTAACTTTAATAGCCCAAAGAAGATGAAAATAATTCACAGAGTGATAAAATTTTCAACTAAACTTTAAAAAAATTAAATAAAATACAAATTAGGCCTCACCAATGGGCTTAGCCTAATGACATTGGCAATTCATTGGTATATTCCTTTTTAAATGTACTCTGAAGTATTCAGGCATAGGCTTATTTAATTTACAATTTTAATTTAATATAGGCATAATAATAACTTTTTAGGTTGAAATACTATTCAAATTACCCAAATAGGCTAAAATACTTGGGAATTGAGACTCTAACTGAACATGTGTGTGCCAAGCATGATTAATACTAAAAGTCTAGGCAATAATAAATTAGTAATTAATCATTCTGCCTAAGTATATGTAATATGTTATGTAGGCCTATTCACTAGCATTGAAATGGATATTGTTAGGCTGCGGAATAGGTAGGCCAATATTCAATATTGTTGTAGATACTTAATTCTTAATTTAGTTAGGGCCTACTAATTAATAGTGGGAGGCATTGTTTGTTTTTTTTGTTGAGCCTTCTCGTCCATGAGGGGCATCCACCGATCATCGTCGGCGTCTGCGGTTCCTCCAAGGGCATAGGCCACCTACGAGAGACCTCCAGGCATCTCTATCCTGGGCCAGCTTCTCCAGGATCTTCCATTCATGGCCAATTTTCTTGATGTCTGTCTCCAATTCTCGGCGCCAAGTGTTTCTTGGACGGCCTCTTTTCCGCTTACCCATCTTCCTCAATGGGTTTCTGTTTTGTCCGCTGCCACAGTTCCTGGTTGCTGATTTTGTCTGGCCAGTGAATTCTGAGAATCCTTCTTAGACAGTTGTTGATGAAGGACTGGATTCTGGTCAGGTTTACGGCCGTTGTTCTCCATGTCTCGGCTCCATATAGCAGCACAGGTTTTACCATAGCGTTAAAAATCCTTACTTTTAACTTGCTGCCTAAGTTGTTAGAGACCCAAACATTCTTGAGTTGTTGGAAGGCTGCTCTTGCTTTTCCTATCCTTATTTTGACGTCCGCATCTGTACCACCTTGTTTATCTACCATGCTGCCAAGGTAAACAAAACTGTCCACATCCTCCAAGGCTTCTCCTTCAAGCATAATGGGTGATGTACTGGTGGCATTAACCTTGAGGATTTTACTCTTCCCTTTGTGAATGTTGAGACCCATGCTAGCAGAAGTGGCTGCGACAATATTTGTTTTCTCCTGCATCTGTTGTTGAGTATGTGCAAGAAGTGCAAGATCATCAGCAAAGTCAAGATCATCCAGTTGATCCCACAAGGTCCATTGGATGCCATTTCTTTTCTGCTGTGTAGATGTTTTCATCACCCAGTCAATGGCTAACAGGAAGAGGAATGGTGACAGCAAGCAACCTTGTCTCACACCAGTCTTCACCTGGAAAGCATCTGTCAACTGCTGGCCATGGATAACTCGGCAGTTTATCCCTTCGTACATGTTTCTGATTATATCAGTAATCTTCTGTGGCACCCCGTAATGCCTTAGCAATCTCCACAGGGTTTGCCTGTCAACACTGTCGAAGGCTTTTTCATAGTCAACAAAGTTGACATAGAGCGGCGAGTTCCACTCTAGTGACTGCTCTAGAATGATGCGCAGTGTCGCTATCTGGTCCGTGCAGGATCTGTTGGTGCGAAAGCCGGCTTGTTCGTCCCGCAACAGAGGGTCTACAGCGTTTTTCATCCTGTTAAGTAGTACACGGTTGAAAACCTTTCCTGGGATGGACAGCAGGGTGATCCCTCTGTAGTTCGAGCAGGAGCTTAAGTCTCCCTTCTTTGGGATCTTGATAAGGTATCCCTCTTTCCAATCGGAAGGAACTTGCTCCTCTTCCCATATCTTCATAAACAGACGGTGTAGCATTTCCACACTGGTTTCCAGGTCCGCCTTCAGTGCCTCTGCTGGGATGCCATCAGGTCCCGCAGCCTTTCCATTTCTGAGTTGTTTAATGGCCCTGCTAATCTCTTCTTTGGTGGGACTATTACAGTCAATTAGCAGGTCATTATCGGCTGGTTGGATATCTGGTGGATTTCTTGGTTCAGGCCTGTTCAGGAGCTCTTCAAAGTGCTCCTTCCATCTCCCTCTCTGTTGCTCCTCACTTGGTATGGTGTTTCCCATTTTGTCCTTCACTGGTCTCTCTACCTTGCTAAATTTCCCTGACAGCGTCTTAATGGTATCAAACAGTTCCCTCATGTTCCCCTGGTGAGCTGCATCCTCTGCTTCTTTAGCAAGATTATCAACAAATTCCTTCTTGTCTCTCTTGATGCTTTTCTTAACTTCCTTATTTGCATCTGCATACTCCTTCTGGGACTTGTTTTTCTGTGCTCGGGTGCGGCTGTTATTCACTTCTGATTTCTTTCTTTTCCTTTCTTCTATTTTATTCAGCGTACCTGCTGTCATCCATTCTTTGTGTGCCTTTTTCCTGTTTCCTAGCACTTCTTGACATGTTGACTGGACTGTTTCTTTCATGCTTTGCCACTTTCCTTCGGTGGTTTCATCTTCAAGTATTTCTTGTAGGACTTGGAACTTATTGAATAGTGAGATTCTGAATTCTTCCTTTTTGGCTTGGTCCTTCAGGAGGGAGGTATTATACCGAGTCCTGTATGCTGTTTGCTCGGTATAATGTCTCTTTAGTTTTAATTTCATCCTGGCCACAAGAAGATGATGATCTGAGGCAATATCAGCTCCCCTCTTAACACGTACGTCTTGGAGAGATCGCCTGAATTTTTTACAAATACATACATGGTCTATTTGGTTCATCGTTCTCATGTCCGGAGAGACCCATGTAGCTTTGTGAATCCTCTTGTGCTGGAAAATGCTCCCCCCTATGACCAGGTCAGCTGTGGCACATAGGTCCGCAAACCTCTCACCATTGTCGTTCATCTCGCCTATCCCTTGCTGTCCCATAACCTCTTCGTACCCTGTGTTGCTATTGCCGATCTTGGCATTAAAGTCTCCCATGAGGATGACGATGTTCCTCCGTGGGCGATCCTGGACTATGGTCATTACTCTATTGTAGAATTCTTCTTTGTCTCCTTCATCACTTTCATTAGTTGGTGCGTAGCATTGTATAACATCTAGGTTGATGCTACGTTTCTTTGTTCGAAAGGTTGCTAAAAGAATTCTAGGTCCATGGGCCTCCCATCCAATGAGTGCTCCTTGTGCTGCCCTTGATAGCATCATAGCAACACCCAGGGTATGTGGGGCATTGTCTTCTTCGTGTCCCGAAAATATCACCATCTCTCCTGAGATTAATCTCTTCTGTCCCCATCCAGTCCATCTTGCTTCACTAATTCCGAGAATGGTGAGCTTATAGCTCCTCATCTCAGCGGCTATTTGTGCCGCTTTACCAGCCTCGTACATGGTGCGGACATTCCAAGCGCCAATGACGGTGGTAGTCCTGGTAGAGATGATGGTTGTCGGCTTAATAGCTTCCAGGTTTCGGCTTTCACTATTAGGCGTCATATTTTCCTCCTCAAGGAATCCATCCTCTCCCAGGACTGAAATGTCTTTTGTTACTCTTTTCGGTGCTTTTGTAACTATGATTTTTTACATGGCAGGGTTGTTGGCCTTGCGCACAACCACTTGGGGGGTTGCCCCTCACAGCTCAATGGGTAGCTGCCTTTGTTCGGGTTAGGTCCCTAGCCTTTGTGGATCCCTCCACTTCCTACAAGGCAGTAGGGCTGATTTTGGTCCGCCCCGGGTATTTTATTTCCCCGGTACCCTCCATATCTGGCGGGCTTTCCCCTATCCGCCGGCTGGGGAGGCGCTCGATAGAAGATCAGCATCTCCCACGAGAGTGGGAGGCATTAGTCGACTGTATTGTTATCAGCGTTATTCCCAGCCAATAAATAGTTTACTACCGCTAGCAATTAAAAAAAAAAATTAAGTGAAGTATGGACTGTACTGAATCTATCATTTGTTTTAATTTATACCAACTTTACTAATGAGCCTGCTATTCCGCTGTGTTTCTAAAATAGTGGTGTTTTCAAAAGATTTGCTACAAGACAGAGGGTTGTGAATGAACTGTGGATATCATGGGTAAATTTTGCCAAAGCATAGTGAAAGCAAGGTGATTGAAAGGACGACCATGCACATTAATATTCATATGATATACTGGTATTTTCTTTGGATGTTCATACAGTAACAGACTCGTGAAAAGCTTATAACCCATGTTTAAGTCAGATACAGCTGTTCTAACTGTACATTGTGATACGGTGCGTGCTCGCATAGAGTACAAAATCGCAACTTTGTGCTACCGCTGCTTACATGACCTGGCGCCGTCCTATCTGAAAGAGCTGCTGACGCCTTGTGTACCCAGTAGAGAGCTCCGCTCATCCGATAGTGGCAAACTTTCGACACCACGTGTTTGCCTTGAGACTTACGGAAAGCGCACTTTCGCATTTGCTGGTCCAACAATTTGGAACGCCCTTCCTGCCGATCTTAGAAACAACCAGACACTGGAGTCCTTTAAAACCGATCTAAAGACACATCTATTTCGCAAATACCTTCCGGGATGATTGTCTACCTTATTTTCCAGTTAATGCATAATGGCTGTGTTGCTCCGGGTTGAAATGGCTAGAAAGACTTTGAGATTGTATGCTTGTAATTAGTTTTTGTAGTGTTGCGTTTGTTTTAAATGTGGTAAATTATAGATATGTTTTTTGTTGACTTTGTACCGCGCTTCGAGCCTTTGGGGATGAAGCGTGTTTTTGAAATGAACTTTATTATTATTATTATATACTTTTAGCTCTTTTGAGTGTTTAATTTTTATTTGTATAATTCCACTCATAGACTTTAACATCCATTTGCGTTTTCTCTAATAAACAAATAAATATTAATAACTTACTTATTCAAATATTTTATATCTCAGAGTTGTGTATTAATGTTTAGCTGAAAAAATATGTCACGTTTT